CATGGATGTTAATCATGGATATATTTTTTTGAAGAAAACACCCACAGTTGCACATGCACATGCAGATCTACATGCAAATATGCATGCAAGTATACACACAAATATTCATATTTTTATGCACATTCATGCATGTACACACACACACACACACACACACACACACACACACACACACACACACACACACACACACACACACACACACACACACACACACAAACTTGCATCTTTAATTTCCATGCTTGGTGCCGCAATCAGATCCTCATTCTAAAAAAAAAAAAAAAGAAAAAAAAAAGGATGATCACTTACTCTCAGAGTGTTTGATGAATTAGATTTACAAGGTATTTCATCCTCCTCTCCATTAATGCCTAATTTCCTTCTGTAGAATTATAAGTAGAATATAACTTGTATTATTTTTCTTTTCTCCCCAGAATATTTATTGTGTCGTGTTGCAAAGATGCAAATGGGAACAAATGATTATACTTGTTAAGCTTATGTATTAATGTTTCAATCTTACAATCTTTGTTAGATTTTTTCCAGATAGATAAAACAGAACAAGAATGGCAATGTTCTCACTTATGTTTTTGCCAACACTTTCCTTTTCCTGTGTCTTATTTATGATTAGAATTTGCTTTCATGTATTATTACAATGTATCATATGATTAAGAGATGCACTTTTATTTTTCACATGAAATATATATATATATATATATATATATATATATATATATATATATATATATATATATATATATATATATATATATAATATACAATATATATACATATATATACATATATGTGTGTGTGTGTGTGTGAGTGTGAGTGCGTGCGTTCGTGCGTGCGTTCGTGCGTGCGTGCGTGCGTGCGTGCATGTGTGCATGCGTGCCTACCTGCGTGCGTGCCTGCCTGCGTGCGTGCCTGTGTGCATGTGTGTGTCTATATATATATATATATATATATATATATATATATATATATATATATATGTATATATATATATATATATATATATGTGTGTGTGTGTGTGTGTGTGTGTGTGTGTGTGTGTGTGTGTGTGTGTGTGTGTGTGTGTGTGTGTGTGTGTGTGTGTGTGTGTGTGTGTGTGTATGTATGCATTTTTTTTCTATTCTTTCAAATATATTCTTTCTAACTTTCTTCCTATCTTATTATAATCATGAATGTCAACTTAACCCAGTCCCCAGCAGGCCTTCAGTGGTCCAACTGGGGTGCTAAGAATCTCTGGGTTTTTAATAATTGAGTTCTTTCTCAAATTTATTGTCTTGAGGTTCTTATTATTTCCTTGTGATGTTTAATTTAAATCCTTTTCATAGGTGACTTTAATACTCACCACCAACTGACTGACATGGTCCTAAATTCCAAAGTATTGCAACTTACTTTTTAGTAAGCTTCATGGAATTCACTTGCAGTTATCTCAACTAAATTTTGCATTTGTTGAAATTCTGGTTTCAGACATGAGACACACATCAGAGTTGCCTTTACCTAATTTTAATAAATTCTTTTTGCTATGTAGGAATTCTTTGCCTTGAACTCTGGGTTTGTGTTTATATTTTATGGTTAGTTTTAATGTTGCTCTTTTTAGAAGCTTGAATGTAGTTGTCATAAATACATGGTTGTGAGGGTGTGTAGTAATTTTAATGATTTCTACAGTTTTAGTCTTTATAGAAGTCCCAATTCCAATAGCATTTATGATTATTTACTGACTTCACACATTTCCATTCAAGAGAAGAAATCATGCTTTATTTTCAAAGGTGATTTTAATGCTCACCATTAAGACTGAATTTTAAGTCCCCAATTGACCAGCACGACATTTCTACCTTAGATCTCTCAGATGTTGGATATGAGCAGTTAGTCTGTGGTGCTACTCACAGGAGTGGTAATCTTTTGGATGTTTTCTTAACTGATGTGAGAGGCATTTTAATGTCCATTGCACCAACTAGTTCTTCTGATCATGGTGGTCTAGCTTTTAAGATCCAGCTGGACTCTCCAATGCCATATTTTACCCTAACTAGACATCAGAGAATTATGTTGCCATGGATAAAGAGCAACTTATGTTTATAAGGAGGCTAAATCTGAATATAATGCTCCTTTGAAAGAAGTTCTCTCAGAAGTGTCTCAGCCTTATAATGGTGATCAATACTTAAAGCATCTCTGTTTGATGTTGAGTCCTCCATTCCTCCTTTAATAAATCCCGATGGTAACTCTTACATATAGGCCAATTGAGAAAGCTACCTTGTTAGCAGAATGCTTTAATTCAAAACAAAGTTTAGGAGATATTGAACTTCAATATTCATGTCACCCATGACCATGCTTTATTTAATTTGCTTTCAATTCCTCTGAAATCAGGTATCTATTATCAAAATTAGATGAATATGGTGGAGTAGACCCAAATGGCTTGTTTGTCAATTAGCTCCTAAATTAGCTGTAACCTTATGCCTTTTAATTTGTCAAGGGTCATTTTCAGTCCTGGTACCCTGTCAATGTTACCCCCAATTCCCAAGGACTACAGTTTTCACCTACTGACTATAGGCCCATTTCCATTACACCAATTTTATCTAAGAAATTTGCATGTTTGCAAGTCAAACATCTTTCTGTATATTTGAGACCCATTCTTCCAGAGACTCGGTTTAGTTTTAGGAAGGGACTTGGCAGCAATGATGCATTGCTTATGTTGGTGCACGAAATGTCTTAGCTAAGGGTTATGAATCAAGGCCTTTCTCTCTGGATTTTAGTGCAGGGTTTGATTTTTAAGTTGCAGTCTGTTGGTACTTGTGTTAAAGTGTTTTAACAGAATTTTTTAACTTGTAGACTGCAGTATGTTCATGTTGACAGTAGTTTTTGATCATATTCCCATGTGTCTTCTAGGGTTCCTCAGGGTGTTTTTGACCCAATGCTCTTTATTTTATATACAAGTGGTATGTGGCCCAGCATTACTAAGTAAATGTTGGCATATGCTAATGATACTTCTCTCTATGCTGATATTTCTTCTCCAGCAACTAGGCAAATAGTAGCTGACAGCCTCATTGTAGACCTGATGATAATTCAATCATAGTGCTCTCAGTTGGGCATGAAATTAAATCCTATCAAGGACAAAGAAATGATTGTTAGTTGGTCTAGAACAAAGTTGCCTCAACATCCAAGTCAGCTGATTAATGGTGTCTTAATCACTTCAGTGGATAATCTGAAGCCCTTAGATATAACCCTTGATTCAAAGCTTACATTTAAATTGCAAATTAGGAATATTTTCATCTAAGTTAGACATCATTCACAAGTACAAGAAGAATTATGAAGATGACAGCATTACTTGTAGATGCTTCTCTTCTTTCTTTTCTTTTCTTTCTGACTCATTTTGAATATTGTTCTCCTGTATGGTTATCTGCTGCAGAGTCACTCTTGAGACTGCTTGATCATTCTTTTAATTCCATTAAATTTCTCCTGTTTGTCTTAGATTTGGACATTGGGTATCATAGGGAAATTAGGGATCTCTTGGTGTTATACAAGATTGTAACTAATATGTCACATCCCCTCTAGAAGTTTTACTGGATTTTTATCAAACTGCAAGAATTACTAGAAGTATTGTAACCCTCAGTTCAATGGCATTTGATGGGAGTCGATTGTCTACATCTCAGTTTTCTAGATGTTTTTTTGCTGCTATTTTTAGACTTTGAAATAGACTGCATTCTCTGACTCTATAAGTTTAATAGATCAGCTAATATGTTGTTATTACATAAATAGATAGATGATGATTTTCTGTCTTCTCTTTCTTTCTTAGCTGTGTTTTGACCTGCACTGACACCTTTGGTGGTTTAATTCTGGAATTGTTCAGTGTGACTCTATATACAGTTTGCCATAATAATAATGATAAGAAGAAGAATGTGTATTTGTATGTATATGTTTATGTATATATATGTGTGTGTGTGTGTGTGTGTGTGTGTGTGTGTGTGTGTGTGTGTGTGTGTGTGTGTGTGTGTGTGTGTGTGTGTGTGTGTGTGCCTGTCTGTCTGTCTGTCTGTCTGTATATGTATGTGTATATGTATATGTATGTGTATGTGTATATGTATATGTATATGTATATGTATATATATATACATATACATATATTATATGTATGTATATATGTATGTGTATGTATATACGTATATATATATAATATAAATACAGATATAAGTTTATATGTATATATATATATGTGTGTGTGTGTAATGTATATATGTATATATGTATATATGTATATATATATATATATATATATATATATATATATATATATATATATATATATATATATATATATATATATATATATATATATATATAAAATGTATATATATATAAAATATATATATATATATATATATATATATATATATATATATATATATATATATATATATATATATATATATATATATAAAATGTATATATATATAAAATATATATATATATATATATATATATATATATATATATATATATATATATATATATATATATATATAAAATACATATATATATAATATATATATATAAAATACATATATATATAATATATATATATAAAATACATATATATATAATATATATATATAATATATATATATAATATATATATATATATATATATATATATATATATATATATATATATATATATATATATATATATATATATATATATATATATGTGTGTGTGTGTGTGTGTGTGTATATATATGTATATTTTTATATGTATACATACATATGCAGTATATATGTATTAAGTGCATATTAATTTTTTCACTTTCTCTCCTGTAATCTCTTGTTTTTGTTTTCCCTATTTTTTGCATGTAGGAAGTTACTTGTATTTTTTAAAATCATTTCGTTTTAAAACATTTTGTTGATATGCATGCCAAAGTATGTATTTTTCATTTGTTTTTCCAGCCTGTACAGTCATTATTTAGTTACCCTTATTTCTTTATTTTTTATTTGGTTTGTTACAGAGAGGAGAAGCGGAACACGGAAGTAGGGCCAGAAGCCAAAGAGGAGGCCAAACTATAAACATGCTGACCTTCATTATCTTGTAGATGACTATGCACAAGCATCTGTTAGGTTTTAAGTGAAGTTATATTAGTTATTAATTTTTACAGTTTCAAAAAGAAAATGTGTATGTATTTTTTTATTATGTTAGAATGTATACAAATTTGTCATGGTGATTTTTTTCAGATGAAAGATTTACATTAGTTTTTATTAACAATGTATGTTTATGTTTGTAACAGTGTTCTTTAATAGTGATTATAAGTACCATG